AGGAGAACCTGGATATAATCGGGGGAGGGGCAACTATGTGGCAGATGAGGTTCAATGTTGATAAATGTAAAGTAATGCATTTTGGTTGTTAAAAACAGTCAAGCGGAATACACATTAATGAGAACTCCACTAGGGAAGTCAGAAATGGAAAAAGATTTGGGGGTCATAGTAGACCGCAGATTGAATAATAGCTTGCAGTGCCAGGCTGCAGCAAACAAAGTGAGCAGAATACTGTCTTGTATTAAAAATAGAATGTACTGTAGAGACAAAGCAATCATTTTTCCTCTTTATAGATCAGCGATGGCCAACCGATGGTCCGCGAGAAGATTTTGGTGGTCCGCATTTGCCCCTCCCCGGGCTCCCCTCCGATGCCGCGCAGGCTGGGCCATCATTGAAGCGGCACGCAGGCTCCGGGGCTGCCTCTCACTGACTCAAGCAGCGACTGTCACAAGGAATGCGCGGCTCTCAGTACAGTGCGGGCTCTGCAGGAGGCGGGGCATCTCGTCATTACCCGGACTGAGCAGGCTGCGGGACACGGACGAAGTGGGGAGAAGCCAGGTAATATTGGCACAGTGTGGGGGAAGGGGAGGATATCAAGCAGTAATAGTGAGATTAATTCACAATGACTGCTTGATATAATTAAATAAATAAAATAAAAATTTTAAGTTTAAAAAAAGTGAAAAGTGTAAAAAACAAAATAGTGAAAAGTGTAAAAAAAAAAAAGAAGTGTAAAAAAATAAAAAATAAGGGACAAATAAATGAATGGTATTTATTGCATTTTTTTTAGCTGTGCTGGTTTTGTAAAAAAAAATACTACAAATCAAAACTGGGAAAAAAGTGTTTTTTTAAAGTTTTTTCCCTCTTTTTTATATTTTATTTGTCCTAAGTGAGGCGTTAGACACACATATGTGATATAAATATATAGCCCTATCTGTCCTCTAAAAAACAATATATAATATGTGTGGGTGCACTTTGTAAGAAAGTATATTACTGACGTGGAAGAATCACACAGCAAAAATGTCAAAAGTGTGTCAGTCATTTACGAACAGAAACTAAAAACAAGCTCAGTCATGAAGGGGTTAAATTTGTTCAAGCTGGAAGTGAGGAGACTAAGAGGGGACATGATTTTAATGTAGAAAATGTTTAGTGGGGATGGCAACAACTGTAAACTCCCTAACAAGGAATAGTGGCCACCACCTAAAACTGGTGGAGAAAAGATTTAACAACAAAGGGCGTAGAGGCTTCTACTCAGTCAGACCGGTTACGTTTTGGAACTCTCTGCCACAAGCAGTGGTATCAGCAGAGAGTATTGAATCATTCAAAAACCAATTAGATACCTTTTTCAGAGACCGTAACATACAGGGGTACAGGTACTCTTAAAGCCTAGGACCACACAGGGACACACATACACACGCACCACACACTCATTTACACATAAGGTTCAACTCGATGGACCTGTGTCTTTTATTCAACCTCAAATACTATGTAACTATGTAACCATTATGAGGGGTCCCCACCAACCCTGCACTGATTTCCCAGGTCTGCACACCTGCTGGATTTCCTTATGAGGAGTTTTCCCCATCACAGTGCTGATTTCCCGGGTCTACACACCTTATGTGTTCATTATTATGGGCTCCCACTAGACATGTGCACTGCCAAAAAATTTGTTTAGTTTCATTTCGTTTTAAATTCGGATTTGTGTTATTTCGTTTTTCAGGATTCGGGTGTGAAAGTCAATTTGGATTCGGAATTCGGATTCGGACGAAATTCGGTAGCGTTAGGTCGAAAGTTCGTTTCGTTTTCTGTTCTTATTCGTTTCTTATTCGTTTCGTTCGTTCGTGACATTTGAGGGGGAAAAAATATTTTTCACCTTCTCTAATGTCACTTTGCTCCAACGAACGAAACGAATACGAAACGAATAAGAAACGAATAAGAAACGAAAATGAAACGAACGTTCGGACTACCGCTACCGAATTTCGGAAATGGAAATTCGGATTCGTTTGCATTCGTTATGTCTGTAATTCGGAATTCGGATACATCCGAATGTCCGAATTTCCGAAAATTCGTCCGAATTTCGATTCGGAACGAAACGAATCGCACATGTCTAGCTTCCACCATCACTGTGCTTAGTTCCCAGGTCTGCAGACCTGCTGTATTCATTATGAGGGGTTCCCACCAACCCTGTGCTGAGTTCCCAGGTCTGCAGACCTGCTGTATTCATTATGAGGGGTTCCCACCAACCCAGTGCTGAGTTCCCAGGTCTGCAGACCTGCTGTATTCATCATGAGGGGTTCCCACCAACCCTGTGCTGAGTTCCCAGGTCTGCAGACCTGCTGTATTCATTATGAGGGGTTCCCACCAACCCTGTGCTTAGTTCCCAGGTCTGCAGACCTGCTGTATTCATTATGAGGGGTTCCCACCAACCCTGTGCTGAGTTCCCAGGTCTGCAGACCTGCTGTATTCATTATGAGGGGTTCCCACCAACCCTGTGCTGAGTTCCCAGGTCTGTACACCTGCTGTGTCCATTATGAAGAGTTCCCAATGCCATTATCCTTATGCTATGTTCCTATTTCTGCATGAGTGTTGCTAGTGCCAGACAGCAAGGGCATGTGCCCCTTATCTCTTGTGGGGTGTCCTGTTCTGAGTGGAACCTGTCCTGTTAAACCGCAGTATGGTCTTGGCCACCATGCTGCAGCTCAGTTTCAGGGTCGTGGCAATCTTCTTGTAGCCTCGGCCATCTTTATGTGGAGCAACAATTCTTTTTTTCAGATCCTCAGAGAGTTCTTTGCCATGAGGTGCCATGTTGAACTTCCAGTGACCAGTATGAGAGAGTGAGAGCGATAACACCAAATTTAACACACCTGAGACCTTGTAACACTAACGAGTCACATGACACCGGGGAGGGAAAATGGCTAATTGGGCCCAATTTGGACATTTTCACTTAGGGGTGTACTCACTTTTGTTGCCAGCGGTTTAGACATTAATGGCTGTGTGTTAAGGTTTTTTGAGGGGCAGCAAATGTACACTGATATACAAGCTGTACACTCCCTACTTTACATTGTAGCAAAGTGTCATTTCTTCTGCGTCATCACATGACATCATATCATCCAATATTCACGCAGATGTGAGGGGTGTACTCACTTCTGTGACATACTGTATTTAAACCAACAAATCCACAGCAAAATAATAGTTACAACTTTATTTTATTGAGTATCAGAAATAGATCGATCTGTATTTAGTTAGCTGCAACAGTCTGGTCCACCCAGGCCCTGAGAACGGTGACACGGGCGTAGACAGCAGGGGTAGAGGTAGAGCAAGAAGAGCTGCCCCAGGACACAATACCGGCCAGGGTCCAGGCTCCGTTCCTCTGGCACACAAGGGGTCCACCAGAGTCACCCTGAGGAGAAAAGAACAGTCATCATTTCTGCAATTCTGCAATTCAGCAGAATGAACATTTGATTTGAGTGGTGAGCGGTGTGCGCCCTAAATTTCCACAGTCTACTCTGACACAGAATTAATGATTAAACCTGCTGATGAGTGGAACCCATTATACAACAAACACCTAGGCATATGGGCTTTGCTAATGGAAGAGGAAAGCAGTGTGACCCTCCCTTCACAGACTTCAGAAGTTCCTCAGAGAATGTCCGGGGATCAGCTAAATGAAAAGCTAAAGTCTAGTAGGGAAGGGTTAGATCCTCTACCATGATTTTATTGTGGCCTTTGTCTACCCTGGGGAGATTAACCCAATTGAACATAATTGTCCTGGCAACCATTGCCACTGAGACATAAAGTCCGGGAAAATACTACATTTAGAGTTGATAGCAAGAGGTGAGGGGAAATCTTCCAAATGTTCCAGTGACTACCATCATTTTCGAGAGATTTCTTCTCCAAGAGAATTGAAGAGGAAATCTCCCCAGCGTGGTAAAGACAGCAAAACATAAACTGATATGGGTTTCAACCCTTCCCTACACTATCCAAAACTAAAAGAAAAAGTGCTGGATATACATCAACAGAGGTCTGCTTAAGCTACGCTCTACCCCCCTCATCGTTCTAGCACATTGCCCTGTGTCAGATCCTAAGGTGAAACTAGATATGGATGCCGGTTTCCCAACTGAGTAATTGTGACTAATAAAAGTTCAAAGCATGTCATACCATGCAGGAGGAGACACCGGAGGCACCGGCGCAGATCATGGTGGGCTGGATATTGCTTCCCCAGTATCTCTGGCAGTCGCTGACGGTCAGGAGAGGAAGAGATGCCTGCTGGAGCCTAGCTGGGGTGGTTTGTGCTGAAAGAGAGAAAAGGGAGAATGAAGACATATGATATTGTGATATGATTTTGGGCCCCATCAGAATCACATCTAACTTCTGCGATGCCCTGGCCTTATTTATTCATTGTGACCTCAAAGTCTGATGTTAGAATACAGGCATGATGTGCCCCGCTTGACACGGTCAAAACCCAAGAGGAGGCCCTTAAATCGGTAGGAGAATGTCAGGATCACTAGGCATTTACAGAGCATCTATACATAAAAGGAACTAGGAGTGTAGTGCTTAGACTTTTACATGTTGGTTTTACATTCCTTCTTATATTTCATCCTCGTGCAATTTCCGATTCTGCGCATTTGTATTCCAACTGCACATAACTATACAAAAATATTTGTTGGATATTTATTGGTTACTCCTTCCAACTTCTGGCCACAGAGTAGATTGCTTGTGTTCAACAACCATTAGTATTTCCTTACTTGCGGCGCTGGTGTATCCCCATCCGGTGGTGACGCATCTTTCTCCTCCATTGAAGACATCAACGCCGGCAGCAAGGCAAACTGGGGACACGCGGTTGTTGAAGGTAGCGGGACTGGCCAGCTTGATCAGGGTGATGTCATTGATGATGGATACGGAGTTGTACTGGGGGTGTCTGAAGACCTGGAAAAGTTATAATAGAATCAACTTCATAGAGATGTTTATAAACCCAACCAGGTGAAGCCGTGCACTCTTCACACAGAGACCCTGTAGATTTATCTGATTTGATCCATAATAGTAGATGAGTAACTGTCTAGTTTTATGGGAAAGAATCAGAAAAGATCAATTATTGTTTATGGCTCTTTATCTTCATATTAAAAAACAACTTACTCTGCCGACAGACAAGGTCTGGATGGGCTCAGCGTTGGAGGAGCGGTCATGTTCACCCAGAATAACACGGTGGGAAGTTCTGGTTGGAAGAGAAAAATGATCCTTAGATGACATGAGGTGGCTTTGATATTATAGAAATCAGATATAATTCTCAATCTGTAAACTTACAAGAAATGTTCCGATGTATACATTGAATGCAGATTAATTTACTAGAATATACTATATATATGTTGACCTGTGACATTGCTGGACTTGCACTGAAGGGTGTGTAGAAGGGTGTGGCAATGCCACAATGTAATGTGGCAACATTGTCCCCAGGAACACTCAGTTGGAGGGGCTAAGGCCCCATTCACACACAAATCGACCCGTACGTACAGCTCCGTGCTGCGTGCAGGGCCGTACTCCAGCAGCTCCCGGGAAGGACAGGTGCTGCTCGTGATTAGTGCGCAGCCCCCGTCCTTCTCCATGGGACTACGCGGCCGTACGCCCCCCTACGCTCACCTCAACTGCAGGTCCGTAAGGGGTGCGGGTTTTCTGGCCGGGGGCGCATACAGGATCCATTCCAGCGGCGTATGAATACGCTCACCCGCACCCCTACGGACGTGCAGTGCTGGCCAGCGTAGGGGGATGTATGGCTGCATAGCCCCATAGAGAAGGACGGGGGCTGCGTACTAATTGCTGAGAGGCTTGGAGCTGAGGAAAGCTTCTGAGCAATACTAAGGACTGTATATGCTGAAGAAAGCTGATTATAATGAGAAGTGCATGACATGTTGGCCATTGTGGGAGCAAAAGACTATCATTTATGTTGCTGCTGGAAGCTGTCTTGTGTAACAGGGGAGGTCTACCCTGTTGATGGAAAGAGCCTTTTTGCGTTTGCCCTTAATAAACTGTGTTTTACTTGCATTTCCTGACTACAGTCGAGTGTCCTTCTTACAGGTGCTAATCTTTGTAATTTCACCAGTGTTACCTCTCTGGTTATCCTCTGTCAGTGTTCAGAAAGCTCAACTCCATGGAAGCCATGGCTTCCATATACTGGACTGGTAAGAGCTAATAGCTGTATGCAGGTTGTATCTGGTCAATAAACCGGCAAGACTGGATGGACAGTTGGATAAATGGCTCTATATGTAGGATGTATCCGGTTTATAAACCAAAGTCCCTGGATGGACATTTGGATAAATTGTTCTATTTAGAATGCATCTGATCTATAAACTGGAGGCTCTGGATGGACAGTTGGATATATGGTCCTATTTGGGATGTATGTGGTCTATAAATGGCGGCTCTGGATGGACAGTTGGATAAATGGCTCTATATTTAGGATGTATCCGATCTATAAATGGCGGCTCTGGATGGGCAGTTGGATAAATGGTTCTATATTTAGGATGTATCCGGTCTATAAATGGCGGCTCTGGATGGATAGTTGGATAAATGGCTCTATATTTAGGATGTATCCGGTCTATAAATGGCGGCTCTGGATGCACGGTTAGATAAATGGCTCTATATTTAGGATGTATCCGGTCTATAAATGGCGGCTCTGGATGGAAAGTTGGATAACGGGCTCTACCGTGTTTCCCCGAAAATAAGACACTGTCTTATATTTTTTTTTCCCCAAAAAAACACACTAGGTCTTATTTTCGGGGAAAAACGGTATGTACAGAAATCAGGACCGTGACTGTCACGCAGAGCAGAGATACCGGCATGTAATGTACTGTATCATACAGTACTGGAGAAGGGGAGTGAAAGAATGGTACTGTGACTGTCACACAGTGTCACAGTACGGTACCTGGCTGCAGCTGTCTGGAGCTCTCTGATGCCGTCCAGGCATCCTAAAAGCCGAGGCAGTCGGGAGGCAGTCGGGTGGAACGGCTTGCAGACGGGCCGGAGGGAGGGGAGGGAGCTGCGGCCAGAAAGTTTTTTACATACTTTACTTGTTTTTAGACCGTACATGCAGACGGGTGGACCGGCGGGCAGACGGGCCGGAGGGAGGGAGGGAGCTTTGCGATCGTGACATTTTATTAGACCGTACATGCAGACAGGAGACAAGCTGCACATGTCATTGATTTTTACACTCAGACCTCTTGCTGGCTGCTTGGATGCAGCAATACATGTGCGCCCCCTACTGCCGAACTAGGTCTTATTTTTGGGGTAGGTCTTATATTACAGAAATCCCTGAAGTTAGCACTAGGTCTTATTTTTGGGGTAGGTCTTATTTTCGGGGAAACACGGTATGTGTAGGTTGTGTCTGGGCTATAAAACAGCAGATCATGGTTTCCAATTTTCTCCACACACTTCCAGGTGAAATCAGCTGCAATTTTGGGTTACTTTTTGTATTACTCAAGAAAGCAATAACATGACTTGTTAGAGATTCCTAGTTCTAGAGAGAGACAATGCACCAAACACAACACAACTGTACACTCAGTCTTAATAGTAGAATATTATCATGCAGTATATAGCACTCACGTGACTCCACAGTGGGCAGCGGTGACAACCCAGAGACTGTTGATCAGGGAGCCACCACAGAAGTGGAATCCAGAGGTGTACTGTGGAAGAAGAGTCATCAGGTCATTGCTTTATCTACTGAGAATGTTACCTTCCCTATGAAGTAAGGCCTCGCTCAGACACAAGCATTGCAGCTTTGATTTACTGCACCTGCACATTTTTTTCTCCCTGTATCCTACTGATGAGGTTTTCCTTCTCTCCCTTCCCTGGAGATGCAACAGGAAATGTGAGGAAACCTCTCCAAAGAGAAGAGAAATCCTGTCTTAGACAGCTGTCACATGTGTTCCCATTGGAGGAATTTCCCCTCACTTCTTGCTTTGATGACAATTCCAAATTTCTAGATTTCCCCTCATCTTCTGTCTCAGTGACAATGGTCAAAAGGACACATACAACTTCCCTACTCAATCTATTGCCTTTATGTACACTTCTTCAAGTTATTAAAGGTACAGTGTCTTAATGGAAGGCCAAAGCTTCCTTCAGGCAAGTGCTGGATGGCAAACAGCAAACACCTGAAAGTCACATGACTGTGAAATGCATGCTGCAATAATAACATTATGTGACTCTCCTTAGTTTCTGTAATATAACCTTTTGGAAAAGAGAAACAAGGAAGAAGACATTGTGGTTGTACCTGCAGAGACACCTGCCAGGGCCAAGATCCAGAGACGGCAGTCTCACCATTCACAATCCTGGCATAGCCGGTGACAACGGGCCTGATGGCGGGAACACCGCAGCCTGAGGAAAACAACATTATAATACATTACATTTTATATTTTCCCCTATAATATAATATAATATACATGTTATGCCGGCATCTTGTCTACGTACATTCAGTCACATACAATCTAAACCAGTGTAACCTCAGGACTCATATTTGTCCTTTGTCATTAAGTCATGATCCAAGTTGCACCACACTGGAATGAAGAGCATTGCGGTACCACGCGTTTCGGTGCTGATGATCAAACTGTGGCGGGAGGTGCATTTGGGGTTCCATTCAATTGCATAGCAACGCAACGCACCTCCCGCACCAGAACGTGCGGTAGATGCAATTATATTGTACATGACAACCACAGACAACATCTCTCACTCACAGACATTCTCACACACATAAACACTACAAAGTAAATTAATGTTTAAGATCCACCCAATCTCCCTACATTACGAGAACCGGGGTCCAGTTCGGGGTGCTGTGCTGGGATGGAGTATCATCTGTGGAAGGCACAAGACAACCCACTGAACACGGGATTGTGACCCACTATTGGGTTGTGACCTACCAGTTGACAATCATACAATACGTGTACTCACCATAGGCTCCACTGAGCAGGGCCAGGCAGGATAGGATCCAGATCATTGCCATTCTGTTCTTCTTGGTTATGTGAATGTTGGTGAGACCAGCCCAGCTTATATACTCTGAATCAACCAATCAGGGGAGAGCTCTAGGCCTGTGATAAGGATAATTTTAGCCTTATCGGGATACCTTGAGTTAATTCTACCAACTTGGCCTAGAGGAAAAGATATGAGAAAACAGGTGTTGCAGTGGAAAGTCACGTGTCAAAATTCTTATTGAGTGTTGCAAATGAGTCCATGTATTGCAGTACATTATATACACCATATTATAGAAATGAAGATTGGGTTTGAATGGAGATCTATCATGGAACAGTCCGAGTAGAGACACTTTTACCATTTCCTAAATGCTGGACTTATTTTGCAAATACTGACCAATGCTTGTCACATGTCTTCAAAGGACCCAAAACCAGCTCTTTCCCCAGCACCAGTATTAGGGGTCTCCACCAACCCTGTGCTAATTTCCCAGGTCTGCACACCTGCTATGTTCATTATGAGGAGTTTTTAACATCACTGTGCTGATTTCACCTTATGTGTTCATTATTAGGGGCTCCGACCATTGCTGTGCTTAGTTCCCAGGTCTGCAGACCTGCTGTATTCATTATGAGGGGTTCCCACTGCCCCTGAACTGAGTTCCTGGGTCTGCACACTGGCTGTTTCTTTTACAAAGGGTTACCACCAACCCTGTGCTGAGGTCCTTGGTCTGTACACCTACTGTGCCCAATATGAGGAGATCCCACCATCCCTGTGCTTAGTTCCCGGGTCTGTACACCTACTGTGCCCAATATGAGGAGATCCTATTATCCTTATGCTAAGTTCCTATTTATACATGCCACAGATGTTGCTAGTGCCAGACAACAAGGGCATCTCTTGTGGGGTGTCCCAGGGTACCAATGCCATAACTGTACAACATTTTGTTCCCAACATTTTTTTTTAGCCATTGCCATTCCTAACAACCTATACGTCATCCCTGTCCAGCCTGGGAAATCTGACTGACAGCTTAATGTAAATAACAAAATGTTGGGTTCCCCTAAATTCCATACCAGGTCCTTCATGTCTGGTATCGATTTTAAGGGGACCTCACACAAAACCCCCCAAAAATGTTGTTGAGTTCCCCCCAAAATCCATTACCAGACCCCTAAATAAACAGCAGCCTGGCAGGCCAGGGTGCGGCGAGAAGTGTGTGCCCCCCCCCACTTCAAACCAGGCCTTATGCCTCCAACATTGGGGGTGGTTTACCAAGAGGGAAGAAGAGGTGGAATTCCTGGTGTCCTAAGGCCTGCGGTATCCTTTCACAACTGACTCCATCCCTGGGAGAGAGCAGCAGGCAGAGGAGGAGCATGAAGAAGGTTGGGGTGCTATCACGTATCTGGTAGAAGACTGGATATTTGAGGAGGTCTCCTTTGCAACTCTTGTCCCGCACCTTTGAGAGTGGAGACAGCGAGTGAGAGGACAGAGAGCAGCATTGTTGCCACGGGATGTGAGACACTGTGCCCGGATAAGTCCAGAAGCTGGTTTCCAAGGAAGCAGGAATCAGACCAGGATACAGCCGGAAAGTCAGCGTGGAGCACTGCGGAAGCAGGATGAAGTCAGACAGGCCAATGGGTTACACCAATCGGGCAGCGAGGTACAGGAGCAGAAGACAGAAGAATAATCCAAGAACAGGCAGAGGTCAGGGACAGGCAGAATCAAGCGTAGTCAAGGCAATCCATGTCATGGCAGCTGGTAACAGGAACTGGCAGAGTAACAGGAAACACAAACAGGCTAAAAACTGACCATTCAGCAATGATCCACAGAAAAGGCAGGTTTAAATAGAGCCAATTATCAAGGGAGATTGCGTCATATCGTGTGCGTGGAGTGCCGGTGTCCATATTCTTCTATTTCGTGTGCGTCAGCACGTACATTACAGTGCGTGCACATTAGCGCGTGTTTCCTCGCAAATGCGGAAAACAGAACCATGCACATGCGCAGTATCACCAGAATGGTCAGATATAGTCTTACAGGTGCCGGTGGTTAGAAGGACATGGGGCAGGCTTCCAGGGGAATGTTTCAACTCTCCCAAAGCCCAGGAGATGCATGTGGGTGGGGTGAGATCATTGAAAACACCTGGGGGTCCTCTGCTATTGGAACTTTGTGGTTAAAAGACTTCTTCATGTTGCAGTGCCTGTGCAAGGACCCAAGGAATTATACTATGAAGGAGAGGGGCCATTACTGGCTGGCTACCCTTATGAATCTCTGACATGAAGGGAAAATGGGAGACCTCACCCTTATATCCCAGAGGCAGAAAAAATGCCGGTGGCATGATTTCCTTTCTTGACCAACATGCCTTGGATCCTCAGGTCAGTAAAAGAAGGAGCGGTGAGTGGCTCTCCTAGGGAGGCTTTAAAGTCTCTTTGTAAAATAAATTGGCCAGGCCTTTCTTCTGGAAGTCACAGGCAGAGCCTAAACCATATGATCTCAGATTACATAGGGTCCGGGGTCTATGCAGGCTCCATTCGAATGGAGAACCCCCTTGAGCTTTTGGATGTCCAAGCTGCATCTTGTCCACAGTATGCAATTAAGCTGCTGGCCTGCCCTGACAACATTTTTTTTAATCGGAATGGGTATTCTAGGCAGCAGTCACGTTTGTGATAGGCACGCAAATCCCATGTTCCCTGACACAATTGACCAGCTCACTTTTACCAAAATGACCCAGTACTAGGGTCAGCAATGAGGACTAAACCTTCAACAACTTTTAAAGTTAAATCTGGCACCAAAAACATTATTATATCTTACAGAATTACCATCTCCTGCCCCCATGGCTACCCTGGCTCTATTACCATATCCCTCCACTGCTGCTGGCTTGCCAGCATTACCATCTCCTGACACCATGGCTGGCCTGGCTCCATTACCTGCCACTGCTGCTGGCCTGCCAGCATTACCATCTTGTGCTGCCTCTAAAGCTCTATTCCAGTGCTCCAGAACTGCAAAGATGGCACACATAATTTTATTACGCAGCTGGCCCTCAACTGCATATTGCGTAATGTTTACTGTAGCGTCAATCCTGCATTGCCCCACTGTAAAATGTTTAATATTTTCCAAAGACTAAATCATGCTTTTTGCCTCCTATTTTTTGTCTTTTTCCAAGCTCCATCATCAAGAATATACAGTATGTGGCTATAATAAACTCTAACTGTGATTTCCTCATTAAATCCTGCCTGGTCTCTCACCATTAACCTTTGTCCTATTAAAACTACTTACATACTGCGAATGGAGTCAGTAAAATATTCTGCTCACTTCATCAGTGAAATAATACATTCTAATGTCTATATTTGTATTATTGGCTGCCTGGTGTCACACACATACGCACACACTACACACTCATTTACACATAAGGTTGAACTTGATGGACCTGTGTCTTTAATTCAACCTCAAATACTATGTAACTATGTAACCATTATGAGGGGTCCCCACTTCCCAGGTCTGCACACCTGCTGGGTTCATTATGAGGAGTTTTCCCCATCACTGTGCTGATTTCCCGGGTCTACACACCTTATGTGTTCATTATGAGGGGCTCCCACCATCGCTGTGCTTAGTTCCCAGGTCTGCAGACCTGCTGTATTCATTATGAGGGGTTCCCACCAACCCAGTGCTGAGTTCCCGGGTCTGTAAACCTGCTGTGTCCATTATGAAGAGTTCCCATTATCTTTATGCTAAGTTCCTATTTCTGCATGAGTGTTGCTAGTGCCAGACAACAAGGGCATGTCCCCCTTATCTCTTGTGGGGTGTCCCAGGGTCCCAAGGCCATGACTGTTTCATAACTTTTTGTTTCCAACATTTATTTTAGCCATTGCCATTCCTAACAACCTATAAGTCTGATATCTCCCCATTAAACTTTGTCCTATTTTCCTTCTCTCCCTTCCCTGGAGATGCAACAGGAAATGTGAGGAAACCTCTCCAAAGAGAAGAGAAATCCTGCCTTAGACAGCTGTCACATGTGTTCCCATTGGAGGAATTTCCCCTCACTTCTTGCTTTGATGACAATTCCAAATTTCTAGATTTCCCCTCATCTTCTGTCTCAGTGACAATGGTCAAAAGGACACATACAGGGATAAATCCTCCCCGACAGGAACACATACCTCAATAAACCTGATAAAGGGCCTAACCATTCCCTACTCAGTCTATTGCCTTTACGTACACTTCTTCAAGGTCTTAAAGGTACAGTCTCACAATGGAAGGCCCAAAGCTTCCTTCAGACGAGTGCTGGATGGCAAACAGCAAACACCTGAAAGTCACATGACGGTGAAATGCATGCTGCAATAATACCATTATGTGACTCTCCTTAGTTTCTGTAATATAACCTTTTGTAAAAGAGAACCAAGGAAGAAGACATTGTGGTTGTACCTGCAGAGACACCTGCCAGGGCCAAGATCCAGAGACGGCAGTCTCACCATTCACAATCCTGGCATAGCCGGTGACAACGGGCCTGATGGCGGGAACACCGCAGCCTGAGGAAAACAACATTATAATACATTACATTTTATATTTTCCCCTATAATATAATATAATATACATGTTATGCCGGCATCTTGTCTACGTACATTCAGTCACATACAATCTAAACCAGTGTAACCTCAGGACTCATATTTGTCCTTTGTCATTAAGTCATGATCCAAGTTGCACCACACTGGAATGAAGAGCATTGCGGTACCACGCGTTTCGGTGCTGATGATCAAACTGTGGCGGGAGGTGCATTTGGGGTTCCATTCAATTGCATAGCAACGCAACGCACCTCCCGCACCAGAACGTGCGGTAGATGCAATTATATTGTACATGACAACCACAGACAACATCTCTCACTCACAGACATTCTCACACACATAAACACTACAAAGTAAATTAATGTTTAAGATCCACCCAATCTCCCTACATTACGAGAACCGGGGTCCAGTTCGGGGTGCTGTGCTGGGATGGAGTATCATCTGTGGAAGGCACAAGACAACCCACTGAACACGGGATTGTGACCCACTATTG